CACACCACAAGCATCCACCAAATGCCAACGATGGCTCCAGCGGGGGGGGGGGGGGGGGGGGGGGGGGAGAGGGGGGGGGCAAAAAGCACATTAGCACATTGCTTGAAATAGGACCCACAATAGTTCAATAGTCACAATTCCTTCAAATTTATGCTTTACTAAAAGATAGGAAGTTCTTAGCCAATGCTGACTTGTAATAGATGTTTTGTATAAAAACCTTAAGCTCTAACAGCATACTCTTTATCAACTCTGAGACAGATCTGCATACACAACAAGATTCAGCACAACACTCATTCCAGAATTTTCCATCCGTCATGAATGCTCTGCTGACGCTCAGTCCTTAAGTTCACTTTAAATGTGCTCTGTACAAGTTACGGGCTTTCAATGCATCTCATGACAAGATTTAATATTACAACTGAGGGTAACTTTATTTACATGTAGTAGCATAAACTCCAACTTACACTTATCATTGCAACAGCTCTGCTATTTACTTAGTTGAAAAACATTGTTACCATAGTAATTTTATAGGACTAACAGAAAAAAAAGAACTTAAGAGTAGCTTTGAATTTGCTTTTCCTAAGCAAAATCATTCTAATACAGTTTTTGTTCATCCATCGGGTGAATTCTTAAGCTCGCCTGTGAGAATTTTTTACTTAGAACTGAAAATTAGATTTATAGCTCACATAGTTATAGTAGTAAAACATTGTTCTTCTTATTATACTACATAGGAAACTTTAAAAGATTTGACAGAGTCCCTATCAACAAGACAGGAGACTGATCATCTGGTTTTTGAATTTTCTTTCTCAGAACTTATGAAAAAGGAAGAGCAGCACTTTTCATCAGCTCATACAAGTTAGTTACCCAAGGGCAAGCATCTAATTGCCTGTTGTTCCGCCCACTAAAAGGGCTGTTTTATTCCCTGGAAAGCTAACCTTCTAACTCAAAGGTCTTGCAGCAGCAAACAGCTAGTCAAACAACAAAGATACTCCCTTCCCCTAACTCCCTTGTGGCATGACAGGCTGTCTCAGCTTTCATTACTGCACTTCTGTGGACTTTAGTTTTACATCAGGGACTACTCTTTGCTCTGGTTCAGAGGTCCAACTTTTGTTTCAAAATATTTTTCTGGGTTGTATCAGAAGCTTGAAACACTACCACTGGAAAAGGGCTTCACTGTATAGTCAGTACAACAATGGCTCTTGCCAGAGTCTAAGCAATCTTCAGCAAGAATTCCTTGGTAGGGATTGGTTGTTTTAATGATTTTTTCAGAGGGCGATTCTTATCTCAAATCAAAATGACTCATTTTCTGCTGTTTTGCACAACATCAATACAAAGACACCTTAACTATAAGGAAGTTAGACCTGGTAGTAGTCCTCAAGCAAATTATAGCAATGGTACCTTCATTACATTTTGACTTGAGTTTTTTTTTTTTCCTCCTTGAAGTATGCAAGAGCAACTAGGAACACCACCAGGAACAATGAAGAATAGCAAAACACAGTCAGTAGAAGGAACCAAAATATCTTCAAGAACTGCAAAGATTTTAAGCAAAGTATTGAGATCAATATAGTCCCTCAAATCTCTTTCAGAGACTACAGGAGGCTCAAGAATATTATATGATCCGAAGTCTCTTCCATCACATAAAACTTCTGCTATTCCAGATGGTATCATATACTGGTGCATTGCATAACATCAATACTACTAAGTTGCTTAAAACAATGCTTTGTTATGTACTGCCTCACCTCTCCTGCTGAGAGGTCACAAGCTATTTCAGAAAACCCAAGATGAGTATTTCTTCCCAAATATATTATTTTCACATCTAATAAAAACTTCTAAAAACAATTTTTCATCAAGACTGTAAGAACAGACATCTTTTTTTCCCCCCAATGACAGTTAACAAATAGAAAAAAGTAGCAGATTTCAGTCATCATCACACACTTGTCTGAAGCAAGACAGTTAAAGCAGTTCACAGGAAGTGTCAATACTACGGCAGACTTTCAATTTATGTTCTGGCACACTGCTTCTCAAAAATCACACTTATTAGGAGAGTGTTTCTGTAGACATAACTTCACAATATTTGTCAAGTCCAGCTATGCAAGTCTTCCACAGTATTTAGCATATCTTCTCCTAGGACCACACCGTGAAAACAGGTAGCTACATTTGACTTGCACCTACTAATTCCTAGAAGCCCAAATCCTTGTGTCAGTGACTTGGTATCAAACACTTGCAGCAAGCAGACAAAACTCCATGCAAAAATAATCTAAGCTATACCAATTATTAACTTGGATAAATTCTTACTCAAGAACTTTTTTTAACCTAGGAACCACCATACAGTAACTATTGTTGACTTAAGAGAATACTATTATTTAAGAAAAAAGGAATGGAAAATTAGAAGTTTAGCTTTAGATTTTAAAGAACATCCAAAGAGATGCCCATAGAATTTAGCAGACATTCCTTGCCAAACTATAGTTGGGAGACATTTAACAGACGCAGTTCAATATCTCAGTCTACCTCACAGAAGACCAGGATCTCCCAATGGCATCCTTTCACCACTTACAAAACTTTACTAAAGAACACCGAATATCAAGCTGACTCTAACAGGTAGGATTTACTTACTAGAAGAGGAGCTACAGAGCACAGCTCCAGGTTAGTGTCAATTGTTTCAGCCCGATTCTTTGGTACAGAGCAAACTGCCATTGGACGGTTTCCAATTGTAATCCTTTCTAAAAAGGGCTTTCCTTCCAAATACAAGCTGACATGCTGTTTTAAAGCATCTGCCAACCACTGATCATTCTTCAATCACTCAAGTACTGGCAGACATATCCTACTACAGTTGGTTTTATGAGAATTAACACACTAAGCCACTATGGTTTCAAAGCAATCAGTAGACTGGTTTCCTAAATAAAGCTTTTAGGCTACTGAAGTCCCACTTTAAAATACAGTTATTTCAAGCTTCATTCTCAAAGTTACCTCATTTATCATTCTACCAGTACAAAGTCATTCTACTTCTGTATCAATCTAGCCAAGAAACCAGCTGGGCACGAACATTGTTCGTGGGGACTAATGACTTTGTAAAAAAAGCTTTCATACATTTTTTGACAGCTTTCTCAGTAAATTCCAATACAGGTAGTAAAGTAATCCTTAATACTCTAAAACATCAGTTAAAACACGGCCTCCAAATTCTTGCTACAATTAGAAGCGACTTGGATTGAAGGGTAGTGACCTAAGAGTACCAATTATTCGTACTGTAAAGCTACAGGAGGCAAATAAGATATATAGTTATCACTGCACTTACAGGAGAGATAAGAAAGTACTGGTATTCGTGTCCTTAAGTACAAAAGGAGATTTCAGTTCTGCTCATCCTGGTTATTAAAAAAAACGCCAAGACCAAATACTTTTAAGAGGATATGTGTAGAAAAAAATGGAATAGTATTACAAGACTGGAAGACTTGTTTAACTTATCCCTTCTCAGCTTTCATGTCACTGTGCTGTGCAACAGCAGCAGGGGACTAGACCTAATGATGCAGGAGAGGCATTAAGTTGTGTTTTTATACAGGAATGATGGAGACTTCTGAAAAACAAGTTGCCTATTACTGCTCACTTCAATGTAGCTGTAGTTATCAAAATGTGCATCAATTCCTCAAATTAAGATCACAAAAGAAAAATATTTTTAAAACCATCTTTAAATCTCTACCACCATCTGGAGGATACGCTATGAAATAAAACATTAATTCTACAATATTTCAAGTAGACCTGTCCAGACAGGCAAAAAACAAAAGCAGTTTTGGGGGCTTAAGCTCAAATCTATACCAAAAATTAGTTCAGGATTTACCAAGAGACGTATTGCATTAAAAGGAGACTCAGCCCAAACATCTTATAGAAATTCATCCAGTCTCACAAATCTATAGAAAATGGTCAACAGAAGAGTTTGAAGATGATTCCACATTAGGAGTTGTGAAATGCTTGGGCTGTTAAACAAGACAAGACCTTAGCAACCTCACAAGAGTAGAAAGCAAATACAAAGCAATCACACTATTCTACAATGAATAATCTTTGTGGAAGATAAACCAGTATTTTAAAAGTTCCTTTTTGAAAACAGAAAAGTTTCTTACTACTTTTGGCTTTAGGCTTCACTCTGCATGAAACTGCACGTTCTAATTTATGTCACTAACACTGGCAGGCAATAAGTATTCTATTACTTAACAAGAAAAAAAATCCACTATTTAGAACCAATTATTTCCCAATCTAAAAAAATATATTCAAAAGAGCCAACCCATAGCCTTCCAAGAGAAAACACTTCAAGTCTTAGGAAACCTAACCAAAAGCAGGCAACTACCTCTGAGTTTGTATCATTGACCAAGGCAAGCATTTCACTCAAACAGCAATAAGCATCACTCTTCTATAGCTACCTTTTGCATATGTATTTTTGTAAGCAGTAGAGCTTTCCATAAGGACAACTAAAATAAACTGATCTAAAACTACACAGAAGTTTGGTGAACAGTTATTTTATTAGATTTTATTTCAGTTAATTTTTTGCTTCAGTTTTGTTTAAGATTACCATTCTTGAATCAACTCCTTTATGCTCCTTTACAGTAGCTCTCACTTTGAATATGGTAGTTGCTGAATCTAAACAGTTAAACACAAGTGTTACACTCACAGTTGCACAAACTTTATACACAGCAGGCAAGTTTCACACTGCTGCATACATTAAGTGCCACAAAAGTTAAAGCAAAGCCATGTGTTTCCCTTAATGGACCTCTAAATACATACACAGGAAATAATTTAACAGCAGATTATGACAGAAGTCATTAGCCTTTTCACAGATTCACCTTCAGTATATTAGCATTTTTAGGAGGCTCATGAATGTTCAAAATTTCACTGAAGGGCAATAAGTGTAAGACTAATGTTTAACCAAAAAGGGATAATGCGGTATGATCCCTAAAAACTTCATGCCTTCACTTCAAGGTGCTATTAACTAAAAAAATATTAATGTTAAAAATACTTACTGTAGTATCCATAAAGTACAGTATCTTCAATTTGTCTTGAAACATTAGCATCAGCCCAGTCCTAGTAATAAAGGATACAAGCATTTAACATCAAATGAAACAAAAGAACACTTCATTCAATAGCATTCTTACAGAACTGAGAAACTCTTCATATTAAATGCCTAAGGAAAAGCATTAAGCACCCAGTTTGCCTATTTTAAGGGCTGGAAATTAAGTTAGAGTTAATTTACCTAACAAAGATGATTAACGAATGTGCTGCATTTCAGGGGAAAGACACCACAGAAGTATCGCCACTGCTTATACTCACTTTGGCTGTTAGCATCACACTTAAAGCTCTTTTTTTCTTCCAGATTAAGAATCTTTAGTTACCATACATTATATGGTCAATGCACAATTGAAATAAAATTATTAGTAAATATCACTTTTAGCAGCTACCAGTTTAATACATTTACTTTTGTTCTCTATTTCAGTTGCACTCAGAATACCTATTTTTATGAAACTGATACATATCAGACAATGCACCTACTGAGTCTAAAGCTCAATCTGAAGAGTTTTTCAAGATGTTTTATAGAAGACATCTGGAGATATGGCTATTTGCAGTTCTAGTCCTTTTTTCTGGACTATAAGCACTGCAGTAGACACTAAGCTTCCAAATTGAGCGATCGCAGGGACAAAGCTGCCCTCAGGATGAGTTTTCTGCAAAACCCAACATACGACAGGCTTGGAAACAGTGTGGTACATTAGAAAAAACTGCAGACAGTTAAGCTGTATCAGTTGCCCAGCCCAGTAGTTGGATGCATTTGATTTAATTTTATAATTAACACATTTATGTCTGCTTCACAAGTCTTCAGAAAAGGTGCACGTGCAAAGCATTAATGGAGGGACCCAATCAAGTCAAGGATGCACTCACTTGGAAGTCAATACCTCTCAATCAAAAAAGCACTAGTTCTGTATCCGTAAGGCAGACACACTGGGATTGCGAAAAAAGCAGCCCCGAAATCCCACATTACTGAATTTCAGTCACAGAAATAGCACCACAAACTAAAGGTTGGGAACACCTTCTAGAAAGAAAAGTCAGATAATCAAGATAATGTTTTCTAGATGCAATGCAACAGAAAGGGCAGAATTCGCTTTGTTAGGACTTCAAACCATGAAGAAAAATTAATTCTGTACAGATGGCCCTTTCTAAGGTATGAAACACCTATTTTTCAAGCATGTAAGTCCAGATATGAATAGTATATAAGGACACATTCTTCTGAGAATCTCTATAGTACTTCACTTCCTGTCACTACTGTACTTGGCAACACAGGAGAATACCTCATTATAGAGTATAAATACATAGAGATACATATAAAAAACACTACTTCTAAAAAGTTAGAGTGCTAGCAAAGGTGCAAATGACTGGGCATACAGGAATAAGCAGAGGACAATTCTACAAAGGGAAGATTTTACAGACCAGAAAGAATATCAAGTAGTTTGGGGAGCTCTCAAATGTGTAGTGCCAATTCCCACAGTATGTTGATAACAGGGTCTCTTAAGATCATCATAGAACAGTTTGGGTTGGAAGGGACATTTAAAGGTCATCTAGTCCAACCCCCTCAGCCATGGGCAGGGGCACCTTCCAATAGGATAAGGTTGCTCAAAGCCTCATCCAACCTGGACTTGAACACTTCCAGGGACGAGGCACCCACAGCTTCCCTGGGCAACCTGTTCCATCCAGTGCCTCACCATTCAAAATTGCTTCTTTATGTTCAATCTAAACCTACCCTCTTTCACTTTAAAACTGCTGCCCCTTGTCCTGTCACTACATGCCCTGCTAAAGTTTGTCCCCATTTTTCCTATAAGCTCCCTTTAAGTACTGGAAGGCTGCAATAAGGTCTCCCCAGAGCCTTCTGTTCTGCAGGCTGAACAACCCCAACTCTCAGCCTTTCTTTACAGGAGAAGTGCTCCAGCCCTCTGACCATTTTTGTGACCCTGCTCCAACAGCTCCATGTCTGTCTTGTACTGTAGGCCACTGAGCTGGACACAGTACACACAATACATGCAGTACTTATATCACAGAATAGCTATGAATAAAATTTATATATACAGATGCAACAGTACTCGGACATAAGAATGGCACATAGATTTTTATTATGCTCAGTTGTACCTTACAAACTTATTTTTAATTAGTTACCCAGCCAGATTAAGCCATCATCTCCTTTTTCAGAAGTATGAGCCCTTACTTTTTAGTTTGACCAAGACTAAAATTACATGAATATAAGTTAGCTTCAGAAAATAGTACCCTAAACCAGGTATTGGATTACTTGATACTATGCACACTAGCAGAGCTTAGACACTAACTGTATGCCAGTCTTGAGTTTCTAGCCTAAGCACTGAAGCTCTTTACATTATACCAAAGGGCAGATTGTTTTCCCGAAGTTCCTATCCAAAAAGTCACACTCTGATCAAGAAGCCATGATTCTTAACAGAAATTACTAGTAGAGTAATATCTTTCAAATCTTACGACAGAACTGCAGGAGACCCATTCATCTGTGCTAGGATTTAGATCCTATTACTCCCCAAATGTAACAGCATTGACATCACTTATTTGAACAAAAGCAAAAGTCGATCTTTTTCAGAACACGTTACTCAGTCCTAGGAAACTGTCCAGAGAATGGAAGTGAAAATAAAACTCTAGCTACATTGGTAACTGCACCAAGACAGAAGGCTGAAATCACATTCTTGCCCTCATCCCTTTCCTCTTCTCCTTGAGAGGAACTATTGATTTAAGGAAGCTAAATGTTTTCTAACTTGATCAGAGGTCCAAGCCTGACTGTACAGTTTAAACATGTTCCAGAATTGTTCTGGTCTTGTGGGATCCACTCTATGTGTAGTCAAGATCAAGCAAGTAGTTATCCAAAAGCAAAATTCTTCAAAAGCTAGCAATTTTGGAGACATACCAACATAACTGAATTGGCGAGAAAATAAAAGATCCAGTACTGTCAAAGTTCCTTCCAATTTCTATGCATAAGGTTTTTTCAAACTCATAAGCTCAAGCCCTTTCAGTTGTTGTTCAGATGCAGGCACTAATACAGAGCATATGAAAAATGCAAGTGAGCATACACCTTGAAGACTACACTTGATAAGACTTAAAATAATTTAACACTTGCTTTATCAGTTCTCTCAGAACTGCCTAAACATTCATGGAATACAGGTTTGATGACATACCATAAACAATTCATTTCCCTATCTCAGAATATCAGCACCAACTTCTTTTGTGTTAATATATTAAGACTGACAGTAGGCCACTTCATATTGAGCTTTTAAAGTTCACTGTCTGAAATTAAATTATCATCCAACTGGAATTTCAGTAGAAAATTATACATGCATTTTGTCATCTAATCAGCAAAAAGGAAGTATGAAAAGTATTTTAGCAGAAGGGACAGAAGCAACACCTTAAGTTAAGTGTCCGTCAGGTACACAGTAAACCCAATCTTAAAAGACTGTCGGGCTCAAGCCCAACAGCATTTCAAGAGAAAAAATTCTAGGCATTTGTATGAAAATACATCACAAAAGAATTTGATTGTAGAATAAATACACAGAATATTAAAGTGTTTAAAATCAAGTAAATGCATTACTTCAATTATACCTAAAGGAAAAGCAGGACTGAACTGAATTGGTAGCACTATTTACTTGCAAGTATTTGAAAAAGGTGTCTCCTGTGAGCAATGGAGACACTCAAAACCCACACCAACCATAAATAAGCAACAAAAGCAACAGCAAGGTCCAAAGTTTAAGAGGCACAGCCACTTTACAGGAAGTAGATAGTAATTGAAATACAACAGGTCTTAACTGCCAAAAAAAACCTGTTTCTCCTCCAACTCCAGTAAAGCATTTATAATAGGATACAGGTGTAGAACTTTAAAACATTGTAATTGCTTTTCATTTTGTTGCTCAAATTAAGTTGTGTACACAACCAGAGTAATATACTAGGAAATATACCTTACAGCATATCAAAATATTGAGATGTTACCTTACATTAAAAGATGTAAAGATGCAAAGATGTGCACATTTCACCGTTGTGTATATGTGCCTGAACTTAAAAACTTTGCGTTGCTCTGCACAAGAAGCAGCTATAATGCAAGCTGATTTAACAGCATATCATATCTAATATGTCAGCTTTCAGTCAGCTGCTGAAGCCCCACACTTACAGAAACTAAGGAGGTAAAATTCTTATTGGCAAGTTATCCATATGCACACATCATCAGCAACTCAAAAGCAGTAACCAGTTCACCTGAGTGAATTGAAACCTGAGTTTCAAAAAGCTAGTGAGAGCAGCACTGTCATGTCAAAAGCAAGAAGCACTGCTACCTAGCAAGGGTCAGAGTTCTAACAGTCTCAGGAGCAGTACTAAAACATCAAGTTCATAAGCATATGAGTTTACTGGATGAGCACATCCAAGACTTAGTTAAGAACTCATCTGGACAGCCTCTAGATCTAGTCTGTTTTGTTCTCCATCCATTATGGCCCAAGCTTACAATATATACAGCAAAAACCTTAGAAGCACAATAGATTAGGAAGGTGAGAAATCATTACTGCTTTCAACAGCAGTTAAAGATGTGAAAATGTGACCACAAATTCTCTGAGGGTCTGAAGAATTCAGGTACTCTGCACTGTTCTGCTGTACTTCATTCTGTTCCATGCAGTTTAGCAAGCATACATCATAGCACCTTTAAAATACCTGTAACAATGTGTTGTTTTGATAGATAAAGGAATCAACAATTTGCAAGGATACGTGCAATGAGCATGATTGCTTACATTATGCTTAGTATTCCCTAATACAGTTACAAGCATAGAAAGTAAATTGATTAGTAAAGTATTGCTCTATAAATAAGGACATAAAAACACAGTTTAAGACACTTCCGGTTTACCTAAATGCTAAAACCAAAGCAAAGCTCACTCAAAAGATTCATTTTATACTTACATTCATAAAAAATTAATTATGAAGAACACTTGCTTCCAGTAATCATTGAGTGGAATCTTCCTTCTCCCAGCAACTGTGTCCGCTTAGTAACTTACATTAACATATTCAACAGAACAGTACTACTCAAACTCTACCAATAACTTCCCCAAATGAAAGCAATACAAGCTAATCTGACATTTTTTTACCTTCCCTGCTTTTTAGCAGGGGAATGGTCATGAATTTTATACTTTTGTCCCTGTTAAAAGGGACATTTCTACTGTCACTGCTGGACCTTGCAAGAATTTCACGAGCACCCAGTGAAGATAGCTCCCATTCTCCACACATGTACCTTAGTAGAGTTTAAAGTGGTATAACATTCCAGATTTCAGTACTTGTGATGTTTCATCAAATGTAGATGAAGCCATCATTCTGCTGATTAGCCTCTCCCAAAGCCTATCCAACAAAAGGAAGATGCAATACCAAAGACTGGAGAGTGAGTCATAGCATGCTTAGGTATAAAGACATTTCATATTCAAATCTCAGATCTTTCAGCCTGTTACCTCCAAAACGGGACAGAGCCAGGATTTTGACTGCCATATGGAGAGCAACATCCAGAAACATGCATGTATCAGCAACATCTGGCTACCATGAGTATTTCAGCCAAATATTGCTATTTCACAAGTAGTAATTCCTACTCAGAACAGGAAGCATGGTCTCAGTTGATAATGATTTCTAAGGTAACACTTTTCTAGAAAAAAAAAATCCAGTATTTTTAGTGGTTCTGTATTCTCTGCAGCTACACAATGAGTTTCCCACAAGACACAAAAAAAACTTAATAGAGTGGTCTGCAAAAAGGATCTCCCATTAAACAGACACTACTCATTGAATCATTAAGGAGACAATAGGCTTTTAACAGCTGAGGCAGAGACCTCAGGTTTGTGAGGTGTTGGGTCTAACCAGAAAGAAATAAAAGCCACTGGCTTTTAAGTTCAAATAGTAGCAAGAATCCATACATTTCAAAAACAGAAGTTCTCATCACCTCCCCTGCCTTCTGCTGCATCAATAATAGAAAAAAAAAAAGACAGTGTGGTGATGATAATGTCCTTGTTTCAAGTAGTCTTCCTGCTGCAAGACAGCATCAGCTAGGTTTTAAATATTTATGAGACTTGTAGGTCAGACCCAGAGGTCTTGGGTTCCAGCAGCAATCTTTTAAGTCTTTAAGCTAGGGTGAGGTTTTCTGTTTCTAAGTGCTTGTTATAAATCAAACAAGCTTTCAGATCAAACAGATCAGATCCAATTGGGTGTATTTGAAGTGCACTGCACAAACTAAAGCACTGTCAACGCAAACATCCAAAACCTTCAAGATAAAAGTGGTGCTGGTGAATATTATGAGGACTCCGCTTACAAGGTAATACTCAAATTCTTTTGATTAGTACTAGAACCAAAAGCCTGCTTCCCTACTTAACAGCACTATGAATCAAAGTAATCCCAGCCTCCAGAAAAAGTGTTACTCCAACAAATTCTATTGTACATGGGAATAACGACCACCCAAGTCCATGCAAAACTGCTCCTTTCCTAAAGGACTAAACTACTGTGCAAAACCTTTTAATACCAAAACTGCTCGATTCACTCACTACAAAAGCTTCAAAATAGTATTTGATAAGTCTCACAAAATACAAGGAGACACACCAACAGGTACCAAATGTCACAAGCCACTTGTTTATAGCAAAGAACAGCATGTCTTAATTAAAAGATGTACAACAGTCCTGTCAAAATGGACAAAACCTCCAGGTTAACAAAGGCTGTCAAGGAAAACAACTCGGAACACACGATGGAAACTGACTACACAACACTGTTTTAAGTTAATTCATCCAGAAAGCAGCATCATTTTGACAGCCTTCAAAGAAGGGCAATCCGCCTGGGTACTACACTTCAGACAATTAAGCCAATCCTTGTAGCCAGGACACATACCTTCACTTGCCACTGAACACACAATTCACATTGAGAACTCTGAACCATCAGATTATGCTTCAATTTTACCTCTGCTATCAGTATAACATGCTTCTCCCTGAGTTTGTTACAAGTCTGTTCACAGAAAAACCTCAAGAATATCTGCAAGTTGATAGCAGGGTCAGATGCATTAAAAATGAACTGAAAGTCTACATATAGTACCTCTCTGTTTTAAGTTGAGCATCCTTGACTTTCTCCTATGAGGGCAGGCTGGGAGAGTTGGGGCTGTTCAGCCTGGAGAAGAGAAGGCTCTGGGGAGACCTTATTGCAGCCTTTCAGTATTTAAAGGGGGCTTATAAGAAAGATGGGGACAAACCTTGTAGTAGGGCCTGTTGGGATAGGACAAGGGCTAACAGTTTTAAACTAAGAGGGAAGATTTAGACCAGATATAAGGAAGACTTTTTTTTTTTTTGAAACACGAGGGTGGTGAAACACCAGCACAGGTTGCCCAGAGAGGTGGTAGATGTCCCATCTCTGGAAACATTCAAGGTCAGGTTGGATGGGGCTCTGAGCAAGCTGATCCACTTGAAGATGTCCCTGCTCATGGCAGGTGAGGTTGGACTAGATGACCTTTAAAAGTCCCTTCCAACCCAAACTATTCTATGATTCATTTCTCTAACACTGATACTGGGAATTACAGTTGGGAGGTAGACGAAAAGAGTACATACAGCAAAATAAATTGCTTACCTCAGATCTGGGTAACTGCCACTACTCTTTTGGCATAAGCTCTGAAATCATCTAGTTGGAAGGTTTTTTTTGATGAACTAATGATTTATCTACAGAGAATATTACCTACATGAGCTACCTGATCCACCTCAAAAAATGCACTGAGAAAAAGAATCTAGTGAAGACTTAACTCACTCTGGCCATCCAAAACAAAGTATCCTTGCCAGAGTCATAGTCCTTCAGACCCCAGCATCAAATATAGCGCTTTGGAGGTGCTGGGTTTGAAAGAATCATTCAGAGGAATGACAGTAGTCTCTTGGAAAAATTCTGAACCCAATCCAGTCTGTCCCACTTGTGAAGCAGCAGTGAAAAAGAAGCACGTTACCCAGGACAGAATTAAAAGCTTTAACCATTCATGAATGTCTCACATGAAGTTGCTGTCAACCTCTTAACTTGCCATTGATCCTAAACTGAAATTACCAAATCAATAAAGCTGTGTATTTACGTATAGGTTTGTATGTTCTGACTGACTTTAGATCCACTCAAGTTCACCGGGAAGGCCACATTAATATTTCTATACCACAACTTTAACACTTATGTTGGATCAAATGCATTAATATCAGAAGATCTCATGTTATTGCTGCAAAGCTAGAAACTCATTCCGATGAATCTTAAAAGAAGAGGAAGAATTCCTCTGCATGGCAGCATTCAGCAATTTTATTTCAACAGGCCATCAGCAGCATCTACAAACACTAGGAACTAAGCAAAACCAAGAATACTCAGAAGCAGAGGGAAAGGTACTTTGAAGATATAAAAGTTTTATCACGAGCATGAAAGCTTGCTTTCAGGTACAACTCTTAAACAGAACCTATCCTGCCCATCATACCACAACATGTGGCCACTAACAAAAATCTAGCTCAAGAAAAACAGTACTTTAAGTAGAGTAATTATCCTTCTATTAATTATACTTCCTTAAATAAGACTGTAGAGAATGCATGACTACATTTGGCCTCCTACTCTCCGCACGAGTTCGTTTCTCAAGTCAGGGAATGAATACATTAACAAAATAGGTCTCCTTTGCAACAGGAAATTCTGCTTAGTTCCCAGTAGACGTGCATTTTTCACCTATGCCTAGTTACATCATTTATTTCTCTAGCTAGTCAGGCTCAATGTATTTCTTAATACTCAGTATTATTCTCATTGAACTGCTAGTATCATGACATATGAAAGGTCTCTTCTATATTCATTTTAATTCTGAACAAACAAGGTCTGAAGACACAAACTTTTAACAATAACATTGAACAATAGCTTAATTTATTCTGTATTACCGCTCAGCAATAAACATGACAAAAACTGCGTCACAGCTCAATTCTTAAGGCTTCTTATGACTTGCATTTACATGACCATCAGCCAAAAGGCACTGTACTGGCTGCAAGCTAGTTCTGAAGCGTTAGCAAGGATCTGGCAGGACCTAGGTTTTCCTTTGGAAGTATGGCTGGAAGGGAATATAGTCTTTGAGCCCAGTGTATAGGCATTTACCATCTGCCCACTCCCTCATTTGTTTCAGAATAATCTCTTTTACTATAGATCCAGATAAGATCCAAACCAAATTATTAATATGCTCCAGTTTGACCTGTTTTTAATGGTAGTGTTCTCACAAAAACACTGGGTCATTACCTTCAAGGACCCTTTTTACCCAAGGGTAAAGAGGCCAACGCTTTAAGCATTGGGAAGAACTCTTACTTACAGTAATGCTTAGAGTGAGTGACTACAGTAAGTACTCATCTCATTAAGAACTCATTTTGTACAGCAACCCCCTACAGTTGTATATAAAAAGGTGTATAAAAATAGTAGTTCAGTTAAGGCAGCTCCAGCTAAGAAGAGATACTATCCCTTCCCCCAAGGGTTTTTCCAGTTTTCTCTCTTTAAAAAAAGAGCTTAACAACTCAGGGTCTACACTATAGGTAGATTAACATAGTAAGTCTTTATAAGTCTTGATGCCTCGGTAACAGAATAAAAGAATGCTGGCAAAAAAGGGAATCAAAATCTTAAACTGCAAATGTGCTGGTTTTGGACAGAGGGGCTACTAATTCCATTCTGTAATGCCCCATTATGATGTACTAAAAAGCAACATTTATGACATTTATTTGTATCTTCAGGATGGTAGACACACTCCTTTTAGCACAACAGAAGGAATGACCGTTTGAAAATGAGTAGAATATTGAATACAAGTAACTGAAATGAAAATTGAAATCCAGTTCAAATAACAAACAGAGCTCAGTGCTGTATTCACAATACTAGATCACAGCTTTCTAAAAAAACTCAGGCTCTAGAACAGGTATTAGCATTGGTTTTAAACACTTTGACAACTCTTTCAACACAAGCGCTTCCCCTGAAGAGCCAATTAGGATTTTTTTTAGAAGACCATACCTTAAATGTACCATTTTGGTTTTTCATATATGAAACCAAGAAGATGTCCACTGGTAGTAGCGCTGATGAAATAAGAGCAACGGCCAATGCGAAGATCGCTGTTATGGTAGAAATCACTTCACTTTCCCGCCGACTCTGATACTTGCGCACATAAACCCAGCAGAAAATTAGAATAGCCTAAAATACACAGGAAAAGACAATTAGGAGTTGCATAATAAGGACGCCAGAAAGCAAGTACTGAAGTTAGACCCTGTATCTTGGTATTGGTGACTGGCACATACCATCAACCCCTTTCTACCTGAGCCCCACGCACCAGCGGTACACTCACCACACACTTCGCTCTTTGTACCTTCCCTACCACCAGCCTGGGCATCAACAAGAGCAACACCACTACGCACACGAAAAACAAGCTGGAACGCAGACGAGCACCGCTGATAGGCCAGGCAGGAAGGCAAGGCAGCCCCGCACCCTCAGCCCTGGGCTCTGCCCGCCGCTGCCGCCATTGCCGAGGCACCGGCGGGGCCTGCGGGGGAGAACTCCCTCGCCGGGGCTGCGTGGGGGGG